AAAAAAAAAAAAAAAAAAAAAAAAAGAGGTAGTGACCTTTTTCCCAACAAAGGTGAAAGATATGGACATTATGTACTAATTAGTCTTTTAATAATTTATGTGGGGCCCACCTGTGCTTTTTTAAAAAACTTGGGATTATGGTTACAATTAATTTTTTCTTTTTGTTTTATTTAAAGAGAATTGTATATTTATCATTTCACAATTTTTAATTGAGAAAATAGATGAAAATGATCTTTTGCGCAATGAAATGTGAAAATAATGGTGAAAATGTCAAAAATGAAAGGTATGGACGTTTTCTATAATAATAATAATGGAAAGTGGGGAACGTTATATGCTAATTATCCAAAAAATAAATAAAAGGGGGTTGGGAAAGTTAATTTTAAGGCAATATCAAGCTGGTGATCTCCAACTTTTGAGTGTTGTGATGATGGGTCCCAAATCCTTTATCTATGACATTTCGGTCCCTAACTATTAATAACCAACATCTCGTCAGCGGAACGTGACCATGCTACAGTTTTANGTCCCTAACTATTAATAACCAACATCTCGTCAGCGGAACGTGACCATGCTACAGTTTTAAGATCCTCGTTATCTTTCCACACTTTAAAATAACTTCTCTTTTCCCTATCTATCCAAAATCAATTGTAAAAAGGAATACTTGACGAGAAATTCTCATGGATGAGAATGATGAGCACTCAAAGCCACAAAAATATGTTAAGATGGATTAAATTTATATTGAATGTGCTAATTATTCACTTAAATTTTCCCACATTTAAGGTTGGATTGGAGCCTAAGGAAGCTACCCTCAGCTCCGCCCGTAAACATAATCAATTTGGTGCCTATCAAGTAAATCTTGATTTATCATTCACAAGGTATGAAGAATAATCAATTGAAATGCGACATTTTAATGTTTCAATCGTATCAAATATTTTAATTGTTAAAATAATAAAATTGACAATCGTACAAATCAATAAATGGCGTATGTAAATTAATCAGCATTTTTAGGATGAGGGTACATGTCTATATAACGATGGGTTTGGATGGAAGTTGTACGTAGGGTCTATTTGCATGAATTAATGAAAGGATGGGAATGAAACATCATTAAAAAAATTAAATGGATGCAATTGATAGAAAATGGAAACGTTGGGGACCTGTTTTGTAATAAATCCTAAAAAATATTTATTCTATTTTAAAATATTATTATTTCTTTATAACAATATTTGATGCCGAAACTTCTTCATCTGAATCTCTGTAATTCCTCGATTGAAAACCCTAGTTTTTCAGCAATTGTCCTCTTCCTAATTATATCAACGAAGCATTTCTGCAGCAATTGACAAAAACTCACCAGTTGAGGTACTTCTGTCAGTCTATATACAACTTCTGTATTACTAAAGTTCTCTGGACACTGGTGCAATAATGTTTAGTTACGGAAGCAAGTGAATATAAAGTTAAAATAGCCTAACAATAAAAGAAATGGTTTTCATGGAAATTTTGATCAGAATAAATGTAATTTTGGGCTTATTATTCAAAGGGGTTTGATGGGGTTTGCCGGAAATATTGATTAGAATTGCTGTTGTTCTGGAATGGGTCCTGCTGTCCTTCCTAAACATGTAGCGGCAGTTTTGAAATATCAAAAAGACCCATTGAGGGCTCTGGAAATATTTAATTCTGTTAGAAAGGAAGATGGGTTTCATCATACCATATTAACTTACAAATCAATGATTGAAAAGCTTAGTTATCACGAGGAGTTTGAAGCCATGGAAAATGTTGTGGCAGAGATGAGGGAAAATGTAGATAACAGTTTGTTAGAAGGAGTGTACATTACTGTCATGAGAAGTTATGGGAAGAAACAGAAAATTCAAGAGGCAGTCAATGTGTTTGAAAGGATGGATTTTTACGATTGTGAGCCAACAGTTTTGTCGTATAATGCACTCATGAATATATTGGTTGAAAATGGGTATTTTAATCAGGCTCACAAAATTTATATGAGAATGAGAGATAAAGGGATTTCTCCTGATGTATATACATTTACCATAAGGATAAAGTCATTCTGTAAAACAAATAGACCTGATGCTGCTTTAAGGCTTCTTAATAACATGCCTGTTCAGGGGTGCGAATTTAATGCGGTTGCTTACTGTACGGTAGTTGGTGGATTTTATGAAAGGGACTATCAAAGAGAGGCTTCTGAGTTGTTTGATCAGATGCTCGGGCTTGGAATTCTTCCGAATGTCGCTACATTTAATAAGCTTGTACATATGCTTTCTAAGAAGGGGCATGTCCAGGAGAGTGAAAGATTACTTGACAAGGTTTTTAAAAGGGGAGTGTCTCCAAATTTGTTTACATTTAATATCTTCATTCAAGGCCTTTGTAAGAAAGGCCTACTTGATGAGGCTTCTAGGATGTTGGACAGCGTGAGAAGAGAAGGTCTAACTCCTGATGTTGTCACATATAACATACTCATATCTGGTTTTTGCAAGAGCTCAAAAGTCACGGAAGCTGAGTCCTACATGCATAAAATGGTTAATAGTGGTTATGAGCCAGATACTTTCACCTACAACACAATCATCGACGGATACTGCAAACATAATATGGTACAAAATGCTGACAAAATCCTCAAGGATGCAGTTTTCAGAGGTTTTGAGCCCGATGAGTTCACTTACTGCTCCCTATTGTGTGGATTGTGTAATAATGATGACATAGACAGGGCAATGGACGTATTTAATGAAGCCATTGGTAAAGGTATAAAGCCTAGTTTAATTCTCTACAATACATTAATTCAGGGGTTGTCTCGGCAGGGGCTCATTCTTGAAGCCTTGCAGCTGATTAACGAGATGCAGCAAAATGGTTGCAGCCCAAATATATGGACCTATAATTTAGTTATAAATGGCTTGTGCAAGAGGGGTTGTGTTGCCGATGCAAGCAATCTAATTAATGATGCAATCACAAAAGGGTTTCTTCCTGACATATTCACCTTCAATACTCTGATTGATGGCTACTGCAAGCAGTTAAAAATAGACGATGCACTTGATATTGTCAATACCATGTGGGAGCATGGTGTTACTCCAGACGTCATTACATATAACACTTTATTAAATGGACTCTGCAAGACTTCAAAGTCTGATGATGTTATGGAAACCTTCAAAGTGATGTTGGAGAAGGGTTGTGTTCCAAACGTAATTACATATAATATACTCATAGAGACCTTGTGCAGAGCTAGAAAATTAGTCATGGCCATGGAGTTGCTTGAAGAAATCCAGAAAAATGGTACGAGTCCTGATGTTGTAAGTTTTGGCACATTAATCAATGGTTTTTGCGAAAATGGGGATTTGGAAGGAGCTTTTAAGTTGTTCAGAAGAATGGAAAAACGATACAAATTACCTCATATAATTGCAACATACAATATCATGATCAGTGCATTTTGTCAGAGGTTAGATACAGACATGGCAGAAATGCTATTTCATGAGATGAGCAACAATGGTTGCCCACCTGATAATTACACTTACCGTTGCATGATAGATGGTTTCTGTAAAGTAGGAAATGTTGATTCTGGGTACGGGTTTCTCCTTGACAGCATCAAGAATGGGTTATTTCCATCACTAACAACTTTTGGACGAGTACTAAATTGCCTTTGTATGAAGCATAGACTGCGTGAGGCAGTTGGTATCATACACCTTATGGTACAGAAGGGTATTGTTCCTGACGTTGTGAACTCAATTTTTGAAGCAGATAAAAGGGCAGTGGCAGCACCCAAAATAGTTGTTGAAGACTTGTTGAAGAAGAATCACGTAACTTATTATGCATATGAACTCTTGTATGAAGCCATCAGAGATAAGAAGCTATTAAAGAAAAAATTCCAAGCAAAGATTTAGGTAGTTCGAAAATTGATCTCTCTCTATCAGTTAGCGAAACCCTTTAAGCGGAAGGAAAGTATACGAACACGAAAGCTTCTGTTATGATAATGGTGGACGTTGAATCATTGATGCTCCAATGAAGAGTAACTGCTAATGTCATGGTATATCCTCCTTACTTATTCTTTTGTTTAATATGTTCAGGCAACTATGGTACTTTCTTGTGGATGTAGTAAGGCTGGGCCAAGTGGAGGGAGAAATCTATCAATTTCTCTGTAGCACGTATAGACTAAATAAAACATTAGGAAATTAAAGGTGCCAGCCCACTCCCCATCCATGTGGATCTACCCCTTGATATGGATCTAGCATGTGGATTGAGCCCAGTGGATTTTAATGAAAATTTGCAACTTTTGTTGAATTCTGATCTTACCTTTTATGGACTTCTGAAAGCTTGCAATGGATGAGTAATTTGCAACAAAGCCTTTTGAAATATATCTTTCAAATCCCTCTTCTCACTCTTTCCCTATGAGTCTCTTGGATAGTAGAGAATGGATATTTATTTGATTTAATTGCAACTTACCCAACAACTCTCCTTAATTGTATTTTAGATATAAATGTTAATTATCAAAATGGAGGAGTAGCTGATACCCTTTCATTTAATGAGAGGTCACGCTTCATGACTTCTTGCTTTCAAGAGTGAATTAACTTATTCTTTAGAAAGATCCTTTTTATTGCATTTCACGTGGAAAGATTATGGTTTCTATTGACTGCTAAACGCATAGGATGATGGATACATTCATTTTGATTATCAGGAATCAGCTTTACATAAGTTTTTCTTTCTTAAAATGTGTAATTCGATGCTCAAATAGCATGCAGGGAATCAACATATCTGACTAATTCCTATTAAATTCCAGTGAAAACTGGATAATTTTTGTGCAGATTCACCTCCAGATTCAAATGAGAAAATAGGAGAAGCTGACAGAAGGCAGTTGGTTTTCAGCAACAGTCTAAACTATTGAACACCGAGACGGTTAATTTGAGCCCAAAATCCTTGGTTGTAAGTCACTTGGGTATAAGAGTCATGGGCATTCTTGGTTTTTGGATTTGTCTTTACGACAGCATTATTAATGAAGGCCGCTTTTGGAATTCCATTTGGATCGTTCTGGATATTTGGGATAATAAGAAAACCAGGGCTTGGATGATGATGATCCAGTAAAATATCCTTTATAAAATATTAAAAGAAGATAAAAATCTGGATTTTTGGTATGATGGCAAAGACATTGATGGTCAGGAGTTCTGCAATCTGAAGGCATTGGCTGAATACACCTGAGACATTTTAAAAATAAATTCTCTTATATCTGGTATAATAAATGCAAGATTGTTTAACCTTAAATTTAATTTGGAGTACTGAAATTCATTAAATGGAAGTCCCTTCCAAATGTACGGTGATGGTCTTTTGTAGAGTTCCAATGATATTTGTAAATGCATCCAAAATGAGAATAGGTCCCTGAAGGAGAAAGGGATGGGGGAAGGCTTGTGCAGGGGCAGACGAGCTTGTTTTGTCAAACAAGGGCTAAGTGAACAGAATCCTTTTACCTTTTTTGTGAGATTCAAGGAGCATCCAGATGGACATTTTATAAGATGGATGCCAACCCCGGTTCTTTTTATCAGTCAATATCTTTTCGAACTAGGTCAAATTGAATGAAATTGAAGCCCCATTTTCTTACCAGGGAAATGGTTGCTAGTTTTCTTATTAATCCGTTAACTGAATCCAATTAATCTATCAAAAATATGTATCTATACTCATAAAATACTTCTTTAATTGCATTAGCTTTTGTGTCATGTGATCACAACATTTGATGAATGGCAGAGATACCAGTGATCAAAATGTAATAGTATCATCAATATATTCATTATCCATTGCCAGGATATCAGCGTTACACATCTAATAACTATAACTTTTAGCAACTGCTTGAAGGTTTGGATTCATGACCACTTTTTTAACTTTTTGACAGCACTTTCTGGAGCAAAGATATTGGAACTTGAAGTTCTTCACTGATGTTTTATTTCAATGAGCTATTGCGCTTGTAAGCGGTAAGATGTCTTCGTTCACTCTCAGTTCAAGGCAATAGATATGATATATACAATCCAAAATGCATGCATGAGAAGTTTTCTTCTAGGGGGAGTGTTCCTCCTGCTAATATATTTGGCAAATACTTTTGACACGTGATCTCAACCTTTCACTTAAAATAATGGGATAATTGCAGTCACGATCCCAAACCTTTTAAATTTTTGCAACTTTTACCCACATCTGTAGTCTCAAACCTTTCAAGTGTGTGTGGCCGAAGGACAAATGACACCTCTGCCACCTCCACCACTAACGATCTTATGGACGGAATCCTTCTATTTGTCCTCCAACTGCACACACTTGAAGGGTTTGGGACCGCTGTTGCAACAAATGAAAGATTAGGATAAAAGTTGCTATAATTTGAAAGGTTTGGAACTGTGGCTGCAATTATACCTAAAATAATTTAACGGTAAAGATTTAGCCACTTAAACCCTTTAAACTGCTTATCCCCCAACCAAACACTCCTATTTCAATTAACAATTTCTATTCCACACCAAAACAATGTCGATGCTTCTCCTCTCTTGCAAAAGCGGCTCCTCAAAGTCGCCTCCTATCTTATCCACGACCACCAACACCCTCAATACTGTGTTCTCCGTCTTCAAAATTCTGAATAAATAAATAAAAATTAACCCTTGTTTGGCATCCTTAAAATTTAAAAACTTTGTTTTGAATAGTATTTTTTGGAGAATATATGGTTAAAAAGTAAGAAAAAATTTAGGGTTTTCATGTAGAATATTTTATTAAGTGAATGTGTGGTTGAAAATAAATGTGAGAAATAAATTAAATTAAAGTAAAGGATGTCAAACAGGGGTTTATTTTTCATTGGTGGGTTTCATATCCTCTCATATTCAATCATCAAGTTTTAACATGATATTAATAATTTAATTCAATATTTACAGCAGATTTTGGGGATATTGTTTGTGTATTTTGGTGATTATATGGGAGATCTTGGGTTTTGCGTAGTTTGTATTTTTACTAAATTTGTGTATGCAAGGTTTAATGTCTGAATGTGCTTGGGGAAGCAGTAACTTTGCTTTGTTTGTGTTGCTAAACCTCATAATCAATTTATGAAATTGCAGGTATTATTTTTCATCTCACAGCCTGATGTCATTTAGTGAGAAGCCAAAATTGAGGGATTGAGTTACCCACCCAATAATTTAGGATAACTGATATGGACTCTATAATGGCTAGCTTGATGCATCTGTCTCAGTTGCCATAGAACAGGCGGATGAGGAGGAAAAAGTGGTTGAGACTGGGGTCATGTCTCAATGAATTGATTTGCCCAAGACACGAGCAGGGGTGTCCAAGGGCAAAGGTCACAAGGCTCACAATGGAGAAATGGTCTGTCCCATGATAGAGTTTGAGTACCTAAATGGGATTGTTAGCTTAGTTTTTAAGGTTGTCTGGAGTGAGAGTTTTTGGAATTGATTGTAGAATTTTGCTTCATCTGAATATGTTCAATGAGATCACGGACAGAAAAGTTAGGGAAGGCAAGTTGCATGTTGATAGGCCTCCAAGCCCGCCCATCAAACTCACTTATACGAGAAGAATGAAGAAGCAAGGTATAGTTGCATAGAGTTCAAGGACCAAGACGCATGGCTCTTCCAATTCTACCATTCTGGCTCTTCCAATTCACTGTCTTTGTATTGATATTATCGAGTTTCTGTTGGAATTCAATCTTATCACTGACTATATAACATCATTTAGTCCCTTTTTTTAGAAAATAATTCGACTAATATGGAGTTTTACGAAGCTTGTTTTGGTTCAAGCCTTGTGATCGGCAGTCTTTCACCTCGTGCAAAACCATCAAGAATGACAGTATTTTCTATGACGTTTGTGACCACATTTTAGAGGGGATTTTACTCCAAAATTTTAAGCAGAGAGTGACTGCATGGGCTGCCTAAGGCCATCTCAAATTTTTACACCAAAATGATGCAATTTTCCCACCATCTTATTTAAATGATTTTTGAGCCCCATTTTCAGAGAGAAAAATTCATTTTTGAGTAGTGATTTTTGAAGAATGTGTGGTTAAAAATGAAGAATTTTTTTTCGATTTACGTGTAATATTATTTTATTGAAAATTTTGTGGTTGAAAATGAGTTTTGAAAAAATAATTTTTTGATGAAATGAGGCTCAAACAAGGGCTAGATCACATTACAGTCTTTCACCTCGTGCAAAACCATCAAGAATGACAGTATTTTCTATGACGTTTGTGACCACATTTTAGAGGGGATTTTACTCCAAAATTTTAAGCAGAGAGTGACTGCATGGGCTGCCTAAGGCCATCTCAAAATTTTACACCAAAATGATGCAATTTTCCCACCATCTTATTTAAATGATTTTTGAGCCCCATTTTCAGAGAGAGATTGATTTTTAGTAGTGATTTTTGAAGAATGTGTGGTTAAAAATGAAGAATTTTTTTTTTCGATTTACGTATTATATTATTTTATTAGAGAATGTGTGATTGAAAATGAGTTTTGAAAAAATGATTTTTTGATCAAATGGGGCTCAAACAAGGGCTTAGTCATCTTCAATCTATTGCACAATTTTCACCCCATCTTATCTAGTCAAACTTAATATCAAAATTTTATTTATTACTTTGTTATAATTTAATTTGCACAATTTTCACACCATCTTATCCAATCAGACTTAATATCAAAATTTTATTTATTACTTGATTATAATTTAATGTAAGTGTTAATAAAATTAATAATCAAATTAAAAGAATGTGAATAAAATCAAACCATTCAGTAATATAAGGATATAAAAAATGTTATAATAAAAATAAACTTCTTTTAGTCCCTGTTTAGGCAAAATTCTCATTTTCAATCTCATTTTTCTACTCATTTCCAAGCATATATTTTTCAATAAAATAATATTTTTATCACATCAATAATTTTTCTTTCTTTTTCAACTACGTATTCCTCATCACATCACATCACATCAACAAAATGTGTTCTCTCCTAAAAAAATGCGCATCAAACACACTCATATGAAATGAATGACAGATACATACTCAAAGAGTAACTAATAAATCTCCTCACCAGATATTATCCAAACATACATACTTGAAAGTGCGTTTCCTTATTAACAAAATAAGTAATTTTTAAACTTACTCGAACAAGCTCTCATTGAGTTACTTGTTACTTTTTTTTGTCCCCTTCTTTGAGAGGCTTGGTAAATATGCTTGGAGAAAGTCTAAAAAACCTCACATTATGCAAGAAACAATTTCTTAATAGACAGCACTTTAACTAATTAACTGCTCATCATTGTCAATGTGAGTATAATAAATGTCGAAGAGAATGGTGCAGGAAGGACACAGTTTCTAGCAGACTAAGCTTACATATTAGTCAAAGTTACACAGCTTTACATCTTTAAGGCCTTATTGTTTGCTATCATTTCTATCACTTTGTTGAATTTCCTTCCCTAACTCCTGCTGTTTTTCGAGAAGTTGGGACGGCCATGTGTCTGCTGGAGCAGGATATCGAGCATGCGGTTTGCTAGGCTTTGATGCAAGTTGAGCAGTAGTGGGCTGCTCCTCATACACTTGCATATTTGAGCAGATGGGAACAAGATATAATTGATTTACAGTTTGTACTTGCTGCTGTCCAGGTTGCACAAAATGAAATCCAGTATGATCCTGACTCGCATGTGATGCGAGTTCTTGGAGATTACATTCAGGAGGGGCCACATTCAGGTCGAGTTGGGACTCAGAAGCACGTGCCTTCAGCTCACACTGAAAGTTACCGATTTGAGCCTCTAAAGCAGAATTTTCATCTTGTAGTTCCTTCTTTTCCGTAGTTATCTACATAAAGAAATTATCAGGTAAGGAAATGGATAGTCAAATAATGTGTAATCCTTGTTAGGTAAGGTGTATGAAGCTAAACACCATCTTTTCATAAAAAGGTGTGGCTCAATGGACTTACATATTGAGATTCAGATAATAAAGCAGCATTTTCTCTTCTCAGAGACTTGATCTGAGCTATTGTTTCGGACACCACTCGACTGGCTTCATTCAGTAAAAAGGCCTTACCATTGTTCTGATCCGATAGTTCTGCAAGACCAAAGTCATTGAAGACATCAAGTTTCACGTCAGATCTAGAGAATGCTGACTTATAGGATGATATGCACTTTTTGTGCTTCAGATATTTTCGAAAAAATAATAATAGTTGCTAGAACTAATTACCTAAAGAATTAGCCAAGGCAAGAAAGAGATCATTCAAATGTTCACGCTTCATTTTCTCTCTCTCAGCCTTGTGGCTTCTTCTAGGAATTTGCTCTTGCTTTTTCTCCGTAGAATGCACCCTGTTAGCAGAGAGATTTTAGATGTCTGTCTCAGCAATAAAACACATGTAACAAAACCTATATTTTTATCCAGATTTAACAAGCAGCTGATGGGTCGAGTTACTAAAATAAATCCTCCCTCGTAATTCTTTGCATTTATTAGGAGATTTTTTTTCATGGTGGAGGAAGAGACAAATACAGTACTTGCTTAAGGCTCGGCAACTCAGAGCGTCTGTTATAACTCCTTTTCTTTTCACACTATACAATATCTACTTCAAGCATTTCATATAGTGCTTTTCCAGAAGACTGCCTCCCAAATGAAATGATTGTTAGAAATTTATTGCAATGTAAAAAGTTTCAGAGGAAGAAAAATGTGGCAATGAATAATCATTTTTCAATTTCCCAAGTAGCTCTGTCAGAGCCAACGGGGCGGCGTTGCCCCAGTTGGATAAAGGAAGAGTGCAAAGAAAAAATTCAAGAAATCATATAAAAGCAAACAGATGAAATGCCATAAATTTAGGTCCAAGCAATTAGTTATTGTTTTTAAAGATACTGCAAAACTAAAGAGTGTCATAAAGTACACAGCGATAGCTATCACAAAATTTTCTAACATTCTTACTGAGAATCCATTTAAACAATGTATGTACTCAAACAAAAACTTCGGTTGAAACTTTGTATCCTATGGGATGGAGAACAGGAGACCCTGCTAGAGATATTACATAGTACTTAATGTTTTCTTCTACTTCTGTTGCTATATATTTTATTTCGTTCTTTAAGCTTTGACGGGTTTATTTGCTTTTGAAATTGAGGCTTCCAATTATAAGAAGAAAAGAACTTGCTTATAATAGTGAAAGTGTCTCTAAGTAGGCAGCCTAAGAGTTTATGGATGATTTTGAATTCTTTTGAACAAAAATAAGAATGATATGGTACATAATTGTGTATTAATATCAAAAGAATATCATCTCTCATCCAATATAACATGTGACTAATTTGTTGTAATATGATTGAGAGTTCTCCCTAGTGCAACCTGGAGTTTCTATTTTAAGAGGTTTGCTGGCATGAAATTCTCTCCTCTTATCTTGAACCCTGAAACTTTGCCTATAGCATAAAACCCGACTTCTTGTCGAAAATTTTGTAGACGATGCAACATGACAACCCAAAACAACACCTTATTTCCAAAGGTTCTGAAAACCTTAGAAGCTCATCTTATTGAGAATTTTTCTGAGCTAAATTATACCTCCAGTCCACAGAACAATTTTTGGGATATTGTAGTCCAAAATAAAAGACCATGAAACAAAAGCAGTTTCAAAACTTTGATATCGAGGGTTGATGAGGATCTTTTTAACATACACAAGTGTTATCACATTTTCGAATATTTCTTGTACGTGCTCATTCAAATGTTGCAGAACCAGGACAGAAATGGTCTACAGTGTGATTCTATAGAATTCATGCTCCAGTTTTCCTCCACATTGTTATTTCCTTCTTTGATATTAAATTTTGTGGATCCAGATTTGGCTTTTAAAAAGACATTACAGACATATCTTCCAGGAGGGTACTTGAAAGTCTTAGAGATCACTAAAACACGTAATAAACCACGATCTGTTTCATGGAAATAGATACTAAAAGAATTAGACAGATACTTCATGAATATATATTCCTATCATCCACTTTAAACAAGTAAAGAACAGTTTGCTTGGCTATAATAGATGTCATCCCCTGCTAATAAGATTTGATGTTCTTTTTCATACTCGTATTTGACGTAATTTGATCAATCACTTTGCACCATCCCTCCAAAACTGCAGTATTATGCCTCTGTTTGGTTTGGATTAAAATCCAATTAAAATTTCAAGTCAAAGTCAACAATCAATTTTAATTACACATGTCATGGGACCTACAACTTTTCAACCACTCATTTCTTCAACTTTTTTTAAAATCTACTAAGAATCCGATTTTAATCTTTGTCAAACAGAGACTAAATACTTTACAACAGGATCAATTTACATCTCTTTTCCCGTGATTTGGACAATTCATTTTTTATGATTTTTCAGTTATCCATGTAGGTTAAGGTATTCTCGTCTATATTAAATTCCTACAATGCTTCACCATAATGTGAAAAAGAAAATACTCATTTTTCAATCAAAAACCGTTCTAAACAAGATAAACTGTTCTAAACTAGATAATTTCCTTAATTTCGTTTTTTATGGTCTCCACATTTCTAAGGTATAAAACTAATATAAATACTAATTGGAACATGCTTTAAAATTGTGTCGACCCTTTGAATAGGGATAAACCTTTTATCCATGTTTTTCGTTTTACATAAGAAAATGAAGCTAGCATGCCTGAAAACAGAGAGCAGGGTGTTAAAGTACTAACCTACTTGGTGTTTTCTCCACCGCCATGCCAGACTTTGCTGCAGGAGCAATCCCTGAATTCATTTGTAATTCAATACCAATTTGCACACTGCTCAAACCATTTAGACAAATCATAAATGTCGCGCTGGATTCAATTTAATGCAGAAACAAATAACCATGTTACAAATTAACTTTTTTTTTTTTGTCGTCTACATATTTGACGAAATTTATGCTATTTCACAAGCAGCACTGCTTCTTTTCATAGAAAATAAAAGAAAACTAGTATATTTTGAACCATCTCATTTGAAAGCTGAAACTCTTAGAAAGGATACAATTTATTATTCATTTAAATATGCCGGTAACATTGCCCAAGCTAAATCCATTTCTTCATCAAATGCCTTATACTATTTGAACCACCTCGTCTAAATAGCTTGAGCATTTACAAAGATGGCAAACTTTAACTTGTATCTTCAACAAAATTGACGTCTTAAATAGACAAACTTATTTATTTGAATAATATCTTCAACAAAATGGACTTCCAAAAAGGCTGCTATTTTTTAACATCAAATATAAGAACTATAAGTTATTGATTTGCTATCCAAACAAAAACTGAGGAATTAATAGTTTTCAATCCAAAAAGAGACTTTGAGGTTGAGAAGGTTGTACGTGGAGCTAGTCTAGATTACAAATTTTAGAGCCCAAAGATTAATTTCTGATTAATACAAATTAATGAACAAAATACCAAGAAAAGAAAAAGGGATCCATTGATTTATGAAGTTCATTCAACAAGAAGGACAATAAAAATCAAACCTTTTAGCTCATTCTTTTTAACTTTCCATTTTTACATTCTAAATCAAGATTCCATCCATAGAGAAACCCCACAAGGTAGTTCTGATAATTCATACAAATAAACACTATATAATTGAAACAAAAACTAAAAAAAAAAAAAGATCGCCAAGAAGTATGTCAAGAAAATTTATGCTATTACTTACATAAAGGTCTTGAAAGAGGATTTGAGAAGAATTGGACTATGAGAAATTCTTCATTGGGATTCAGATTTGAGAAAGATGATGAAATGAGAAGACGGGCGTGTGGCCAACACCTACGAGGTAGTTTCGATGCCACGCAGGCTGTATTTTCTTCCTGTCTAGAACAAGAACGCACGTTCAGCCTTCAGTTTTCCACGCGCTCAACCCCCTTTTTCTAAATTGATTTCTTAAATGAATATGGATCATCTAGTTTTCATTAGAAGAGAATAGCAAATTGTGAAATTTATGTTAAGAACAATGTTTCTTGAAATTAGGGGGCACCACATGCGCCATATGGGGTCAATTGACCCCACAATTTTTTTTTAAAGATAAAGAAATCTGTTTTGACTCGTGAAGAGCGAGATACAGCTTTTCTCAAATTTATATATTATGTGAAAAAACATGTAGTTGTCGTTTACGGTCTACGATGCACTCATTATGAGATGTCAAGTGAAATCGAAATATTGTATACACATTCTTAATATTATTTCGAAGTGCTCACGACCTAACTTTTCACTTGTTAATGATGTGGGAAACGGCCAATCATAACAAAAGTACCGTGCATCAAAATAGGTTATTTCAAATTAGTATTTTGAAAACTTCGATAATATATTAATTTTAAAAATTCATTGACGATTTTACGCTAGCCTAATCCACAAATTGTCTATGTCATCTAGAAGCTCGTTTTCATAATTGCATCGTAAACATATCAAATTGTCCAAATGGATATTGAAAATTTTTAAACATACGTCTCAAAAAGATACGTCTAACTCGTCTTTTCTTTAAAAAAAATAAATTGTTTCAATAACTTTTATTATTTTTGCACGATAAATTCTCGATATAATTTACATCATTTTATTAAGAAATTTTTCATTGAATATGGCAACAAAAAATTTAGGATTGTTACGGATTAAATGTAATTTGAATTACTTTCAAATTACATTTATATTAATTTTTAATTTTATTTACTTCTTGGATTAAATTTGAATTTTATTTCATTCATTTATTTCTTACATTTAATTTGATTTACTCGTTGTCAACTCGTCATCTATCAACGAGATGATAAATAAAACTATACAAGTAATAAAATTCATTTCACAATATTGATAATGATGAAATTATACGGGGTCAACCTTTTACAAATAATTAATTTTAACCCTACATTTTATGAAATCCACCACTTTTCAATCATACATATTACGGACTTATTATCGAAATTCACTAAAAATCTGATTATAATCCCTATGAGATAACTTAATAATAATATAAATAAGATTCAAAGTTACACGGTATGAGGGCGTGTGGCATCCACAGGGTGTTAGCATGTGTACAAATTTGGAACATTGGGGCCACGCACTAATGGCTCGTGGTATACACAAGATTACACGTGCTCACAAGGTTAATTCATCATTCACTTGAGCCACAAGGAGGAGAAAAATAAAATAAATAAATAAATGGAAGATATGGCATATGATTTTGAACTTTTTAATAGAAATTGCAAAAAATGTCCATTTCACGGGGTCCTTTATAAAAATATCCCAAATTTATTCAATGTCCATTTTATTTAGACAAAAATGCCCTTGTTATCAATTTTTAAATTCTAAACTAAATATAAAAAATTTCATATAATTTAAAATTATATTGACCAATAAATTTTTGACACATAACATACACTGCTTTAAAAAGTATAAATGTTAAACTTCTTCATTGGAGTTGACAAATAATCCATACAAATCGACCCGGTCTACAGACTCTTTCAAATCCTTCCAGTTTCAAATCCTACCAATTGCAATTCAAATTTCAGACTCTTTTCTCCCGTGCAAATCTATCTCGCCCCCAAACTTCTCTCCTCTCTTATCTCTTCTCTCCGGCGAAGCATATTTTTGTTTTCTATATTAAATAGGTATACGTTCATTTATATTTGTACATAAATACCTCTAATCTATGTATTTTTATACATTGTACTGTTTTTTTTTCCTTAAATGATACATGTTTTACTTTTGGATTATGTGTTCAACAGGAAAAAACCTTCTTCATGCTAAAAAAAAATATGTATTTCCTTTAATTTTTCCTTTTAATTTCACTAATTTTAGGATCCATTCTATTTAATTTTTTATCTAATATGTGATGTTTTTTGCTTGGAACTTTGGACTCTAAGCATAGTTGTCCAAACACGTTTAGTTACGAATGTTACTCGATATAATTTGGATGTTAATTTATGGTGGGAAGGAAGCTTGAAATAAGAAATTTACATTTGTACTTAATGTTGGGAGCGTTATCAATGTCAATCGATGCTAAAGACCGTAAATGGAAAAGTACTGGACAAAAGTGGAAAACAAATATTTTATGATGTAGAAACTAGAAAAATGAAGACAATTGAAACTCATGAAGATAAATTCTTCCCACTTGGGGCTTATTTATGCATGGAGAGCTTACTCTTAATCAAGGGGCTCCATCCCCTCGGAGAATATGCAAAAGAAGATGGAGTTAACGAGAACTAAATCGAAGTTATGTTGCAAATGAAATCTAAGTAAGTGTTTTAAATAAGAAATTGTTAGATTCACGTCCATCCTTAGCGTTTGAGCTTGTAGGTATAGTTTCATATCCCCTTTTAGAAATGTGACTTGAGTAGTCGCTTTAACGATACTTAGTAGGTTCTTATATTAATTTTCTTGTTTGTTTTTGTTATTTGTAGATGACTTCATCACACCAATACAAAATTCCTTAAGGTTCTTATATTATTTTTCTTGTTTGTTTTTGTTATTTATAGATGACTTTCTCACACCGATACAAATTTCCAAAGGAAGAGTGCATTCCGGCCCAAATTTCACAGGTTAGCAACACCAAGTACATAACAATTTTCATCAACAAATTCATGCACAAAAAAAGAGTATGTTCGAGGAAAGTTGCATAGGACATGTTGCGAAGTTGCCGAATTTCAAACTATCTACGCAATTAATTCATGAAATGGTAAATAGATCGATGGTTTGCCCAAAACGTTTCGAGGCTTGGTTCAAGGTAAACCAAAGGTTTACAAGATTTGGAATGTCGGAGTTCGCATTAATCACTAGCTTGAAGTGTGGTGAAGTACCTAAAAGGTTGGCTTCCAACAAAATCCTAGAGAAAACTCGGCTATGGGACAAAATGTTTACCAATAGAGAGTAGGTAACTTGTAGCGACCTGGAGAAGGATTTCTTAAAATGTGCTAACCATAACGATCATTAGAGGCTTGGGTTGACACTAATTATTGAATGAGTATTCAATTCTAGTGATCGAAATGTCGGGATACATCCTGAAACTCTCTCAAACGTGGATGACTTTGATTTCTTCAATACCTACCTATGGGAGACGACATGTTTTAAACTTCTTATCAAATCACTGCTATGTGGATGGGGGAGATAGGGGAATCTGGCAAAGTTCAATTATTGAGACAGTGTTGGAGATATGCATGTACGTGATGATTATGTTGATTTATCGTTGCCCAACACAGCGACTGACGAACAACAAGTCGAGGCAATCGAAGTAGATGCTGGAAATGTCGATGACTTGTCCAGAAAGTCCTCAGATGTGGTTTCCATCATCCTAGATCCTCCTAACGTCTATACTCCACCACCATACCTACCTCGACCCATCAGAGTGAAGATGCCCAGTGCTAGCACGTGGAATCCTTTCACACGGTTCGGTCGTTAAAATGGTAAGCGGGATGTGTACTTAGTTTACAATGTTGTTGGAGTATAGCTTTGTGTGTTTGGAAAAAAACATTTGCAACGTCACTTTGTGTATCATCATTAGGCAGATTTTTTGGTTGATGGTACAGTTCTGAGTGTCGATGTAGAATGAAATAAAGACAACAACATTTTGTTTCACTACTAGCATGTTGTTTAGATCTTATATTGTGTACACATTTACAAATTGTCGTTCTTGTTAATTGAAATATCAATAGTCTAGAATAACAGGTATTTAGCCCTTGTTTAACATCCATTTTTTGCTCATTTTTTTTATTTCTTCATTTCAACCACACATTCTATCAATAAAATAATATTACGCATAAACCCAAAAATTCTTCTTACTTTTTTACCACACATTCTTCCATCAATCACTATTCCAAATCAAATTCTTCTCCAAAATGGATGTCAAACAAGGGCTTAATGTCTAGAACAACACTTCAAATGTCGAAAAATGTCGGAAATGTATAAAACTCACGAAATCGAAATAAAATCTCATTCTAGATCATGAACTATCAAAGTGTTGAGATAAATAGTGTCCAAATATCGAGAACAACTTTTCAAATGATGAGAACATCATAAAATGTTGATGACAAAGTCAAATCAATTAACCGACTGGTATGATGACAATTGGATTAAAAAAGTGTTGAAAAACAACAATTAGACGTACAAGTTCACCAATATGATTTCAATTAAAGGTATGCTATAAATCCATCATCATTAACAAAAAGCTCTCATTACGAGTGTAATATTGTGTTGACTTCACAAGTATGTTAGTAATAAATACTTCACTTTTCTAATGACAAGCACAAGGTCTTAAACTTATATTGTCAATCAATTGTAATTACATAGAGTATGAGTTGGTGTGTAGTCTTGTAATGTAATTACACCATGCTTTATCCCTCTATATAAGCATGCATATTGATTGAAATACAATGTTAAAATACAATTCTTCACAAAAAATTCCTATCAATAAGAACTTCTTCCTTCAACTGAAGAAACTCCTCATATTGATGTTGCTATGAACCTTTCCTCACCCAGGTCTTCGGCGAACAATCTGATCATCATCGAATCGGAAGACGATGAACAAATGCATATCATTGTTCCCTACATTCCTCAACCTGGGAATCGCTTTTTCGGGTGAGTGTTCATCTAATTTCATTTCCCGATTTGGGAAACAAAAGTGAGCTAAGCAACTTAGAGTTGGTGATGGTATTGCCGATCATAAGATCATCCCAATCGAAATCCCACTAGACGAACACCAACTTTTGTTTGGCATTCAGCATGTCGACGAGTTGGTTGACAATGTTGGACCGAGACCGAATGTCATGAGAGATATCATCATAAGCTCCAACGACGAGGATGGTAGTGAGATATCTTCTCTATTCGTTGTTGAAGACATGTAGATATCTTCGTATATTGTCATTTTGTGACCACTTCAAATAAGAAACTCATTGTCATTGTCATGATTTATGTTGACGAAGTGGAGAACTTGATGTAGTTTGGCAGTTTACGAACTCCTCGAAATGATTTCGAATTGTTGTTGTTAGAAATTCAGTACGTGGCTATATATTGTTGTTGAAATCATAGTACTAAATTTATGATTTGTATTGTTCTTCGAATGAATACTAAGTGTTGAAATGAACTGGGAAAATAACATAGAAATGCAAAAGTATATTATTCATGAATGACGAATTTGATGTTAACATGAATACAGAAAACAGTCAAGTGGCGGAGTTAGTCAATAGTCTTAGGTTCCTACACCTTTGCCTGTTGTGTTAGTAACCACTGCACCGTCCACGTTTTCACGTGCTTGTCGACCTTTCATGTCTTGACCATTTACGTTGAGTAAGAGGTTGTCCTCGTGGTTTACGTATATTTAGCGAAACATGGATGGAATGAATCGCATGAGGAACAATCTAATCAGACTCCATTCCAGTTGGATGAATGGCTTCGTTGTATGTAGCTTGCTAGAATTTAGTGATGTAGTATGGGGAACACAAGTTATAAAGTCATTTTTTCTTTGTGCAAGCTTCTCGGGATACATGTGCACATGGTATCTGTGGCATCTGAAGCTCTTGACATACAACATGTGTTGCCTATGAGGTCGACAGTACACATGTTTGTGCCTATACCAACCTCCAACACGAGTTTATCTAAGCGACGTACTTGTAATGTTGCACCGGCGTCAAAATTTTTTCTCAATTCTCCCTCTATCTTTGGTCTCAAGGCACTCTCGCATTTGGTAGATGCGGTTCTCCTCTCGAAAAACTATTGTTACATCAACAGCCTAATGTTGTCAACCAACGAGGTTATAGGGAAAATTCGTTGTCGCCTAAGGACTGAATTAAGGGATTTCGCACTGTTGTTCATCATAATATTGTATTGGTTACCACCGAAATTTACAAGTGACCATGGCGATATACCAAGATGTTCCAAATGAGAAGCAACTACTAGCCGGATGGTTCTAATCTGTCCCATTAACTGTTTGAATTCTAATATGCGGTATACTAGTGTTGCTCGCTTGAACAAGAACACATCATTGCTATTTCTATACCTAGCGATAAGATTTTTCGCTATATACCGCATGCAAGCACTATGGTGTGAAAGTGGGTACAACCTAGGTATTGCCCACTTAATGCTCTTCTTTCTACCTGATACAAACACTAGTCATTCTGAATCATTAACAACATCTTTCAACTTCGTGAAGAACCAATTCCATGATGCATTTGTTTTCCCATTAACAATTCTCTAAGCAATGGGATATATTTTTGCAAGTTGGCATCCTGAGCTGCAGCAACTAACAATTTTCCCTTGTACTCGCCTTTCAAATGACTCCCGTCAACACAAATGATCGTTCTCATGTAATCTCGAAAGCCACATATACTCGCCCCGAATGCAAAGAAGAAGAAGAACCTGTTATTGTTTTCAAGCTCAATGTGTGCGACGATTCTGGGGTTTTTCTCAGTTAACTCATGACAGTATGAAGACAATTTTTAAAAACTCTCTTCAGGTGAGCCATTCAAGATCCTTCTCTTTACCCCTCCAGGCATTGTTGTAGCTAATTCGTACACAAAACTCACATTCGATATCTCGATAATACCCGCCGAAACGTACAGTTGGTTTGAATCATCCAATCGTTGCATTATGCGTTGCCCAATTAGGGAATTGTTTGCATACATGTATGCATTTCGCCAAACATTTAAAGAATATGTGTGCTCAAGTATGTACCTTCAAACCATAAATATATCTAAATTTTTTATCTCGAAAGTTCGTAATAGCCAATGGCAGTTGGTATCCACGCAACATAAAATGAGAGATCTAGTATTTAACTTTGAAATGAAATTTTCAGTCAAAGCTTGTAGTCAAAGCTTTGTGTGTAGTTGTTTCTTACTAAAGAAGATTTGATTCTCAGCAATTTTCCATTGATCTTCCATTTCCTTTGCATTTCTAGTATATGGATTTCCTTGAACTAGGCCGACATCCGAATCTGGAATCATTCGTGGTTCTTCTAGTTTGAGCACACCAATTTCTTCATACCTATACAACACCTCTTCTATTGGTGATAAATGATCAACTCCAACATTCACCTCTTGCTCTCCGACATCATATTGACCTGCAATTACACACAAGTCTACTTGTGTTTGAATAGAAATGTACCATTGCAAATCCTGGTCATCAGCTACATCAGCATGAGGTACATTAATGTTCAGAACTTTAAATTTCACGTAGATTTAAAATTTCATTCTGTCAAGATTAAGCTTCTCGAATAATTTATTAACAAGTTCTTCATATCTAATGTCACTTTGAATAACAATTGATGTTGTTCGGTTCCCAAACCATTTTCACTCTTCTTCCATGTTGACGAATGTACCACCATGTGAGACAATGAATCTTATAGCATCTTCCATATCTGCATGTCATCAACACAAATAAGATTAGCTAACATGAATACTTAAAACAAATATGCTACTCGTAAGCAATATGGTCAATGGTAAGCACAAAATATTCTGTAGTTCCGCTAAATTTGTAACATAATTCTCGACATTTGAAACAATATCAAGAATTACAATTGAAGTATCATTCTCAACATTTATAAAATATCGAGAATGATATGTTAGTCAAACAATTCACCATATGTATTTATCATCTTCTTCAACTTCAACCACCATTTTTGTAAGGAATTTATTCCATCATTAATGGTATTGTCAATACATGACAATCATTGTAAATCTATCTATCAAAGTTATTTAAATAGGTTGTGACACCATGTTTGAGAAATACAAAACAATAAATATGAATTTGATTTTAAAACGTTCCAGTAATCTTACAACATATATCTACTAATTGTTAGAAAAGCATGTAATTGACCATTTTTGAAAATTCTCCCAAAAGTGGAAATTCTTTAAGCGGGTGTTTTGGTATCATGTCAAGTGGGCCACCAATTCTAACACTTGTCATATTTGTGTGTAATATTGTTGCCAATTTTTTTTATTTTTTTATTTTACACTTGTTCAGAGTACTTTGTGAAAAGAGAAACTGATTGGACACAAGGGAAATTGTGAAAATTTATTTTCAAATAACTTAAATTAGTACATGTCTTAGTTAAAATTGTCAAAGTAAATAGAGAAAATGCTTTACAAATGTTTCTTTTCTTCTAGAAAGGAGGTGAAAAATCTAACTCAAACAAGCGCTGAATGTGCAATTTCGTAATTTCATGGATCAAATTTTCTTTTAGAGCACATCAAAAATCATAATATTTAACAAGAGACATGCTATGTGTATATAGGTGTACACATAAGGGTTCACATAATGTGAATGAGGTGAGACCCATGCTACAGTAACGGGCCCCGCCCCACTCACATTATGTCATCCCCTATGAATCAATATATGTATACATAGATTAATCCATTTAGAAAAAATCTGCTTGTACAGAAAAAATCTACCATAAAATGAACAAATACTCACATGGGGTGTGGGCCCCATGTGAATTAAATATTGCAAAAAAAAAAAAAATGGGCCCCATCTTTTTGTGTGTTTTCTGTGGGTTTTTAATTCTGTACATGTAGGCTTTCTTATCCATTTAACAATTAAGGAACTCTTTTGTGTAGATTTTTTTAGAATAAATTTTATGAAAAGCGATTTTTTTGAAAATTTCGTGATTAAAAAGTAAGGAAAAAATTAAACTCCACGTGCCAAATTATTTTATTGTGATAAGGTGAGAATGAAAATAATTTTTTAGACAAAATGAATTTTAAATAATCCGTACCAAACTAGGGTTAAAAACAGTCTCTTTACCTCAACAAGTATTATCATAACCAAATTACATCAAATTACATAACATAACGTGTGTTCCTCTTTTATATGTCACAAATATTTTCAAAAGCATACCCAAGTACCTAAAAAAATGAAGCATTTAAATAAAAAGTAATACTATTTATCACAATTGACACCAGTTTAAGTGGCAATGACATGACATTAGACAATAGATTCATTTCATTTCAATGCAAAGTCACAACTCACATGACTCATTTAATCGAACATATAAAGTGTAACCACCTAGATTGGTGCTAGATATCATTATTCTTAAACAAAATATGTACATCAGAATACATATAACTTTTTCGTCTGGCTATTAGTTCCATATTATGGAAACTTGAAAATAGAACTCCAGGAAGAAACAGGAAAGCACAAGAAATTCTACTTATCTTTAATTCTCAGTAGTGTGGGTCGTGCAGGAGAATTCTGGATCTTTTGAAGGATCTAGTAGTGCTCGAACCTTTGGAACTTTTAAGCTTTTGAACAGCCAAGTTGGAACTTGCGAGTCTTCATTCTCCCATTCAGTGCAAGCGCCAGCACATCATACTCTTCTACGTACCAGAGCTCCGAGACAGTAGCCTAACACAAGCAACGTGAATGATGAAAAAGCAGCATTTACAGTTTACAATGGGGAAACATTAGCCCAACTTTGTAATAGACAGGCTTCTAACTCATAACTTCATGCTGTAAAATACGTCCAACAAAATCCTAAAAAGAAAATCGATTACAAGAATGCCAAAAGCAATGGTGTAGAAGCAGTCCCCCATTTGGTCAAAATTCATACCAAAGGACAGGGAAGAGAGATATAGAATAATAGAATTCAATATATCAAAGTATCAGATATAGCACGACCGTGCCATTAAAATAGAGATCTAAGTACAATG